CGCTATGAAGAATCTTGACGTTTTAGTTTCCGCTTCGTTAAGACAACAGTGTCGACTGTATGGGATTTTTAATGAGTGTTTGTTCGGCATTCGGTGTGCTACTCGATACATGTAAATACACTGGTTCACGAAAGAGTTTCGTTGATACAAAAACTTTGACGTTTCTCGGAGTAAGTAAACATATCACTGGTTTCATCTTTCTCTTCGAAATCATATTTTTACATTGCAACCAATCGTAATAGCAACCAATGGATATTATATAATAAATCAAGTCAATAAAAATATTTGGAAAACTTTTTTTTATTCCTTATGAAAAAACATCAGAACTTTTGCGTCAATCCAATATTTAAAGTACGGAGAAAACCACTGACCCAATAAACTCATTCCATCTAATTGTAAAATATTGTTTGTATAAGTATATTGTACAGTTTGTAAATAAGTAAACTGTTTGAGATCAATTTTACCAAATATTGGGTCATCCTAAACGATAATGTGGTTTCGTAATATTTTTTCAATTTGCAGACCATAAAGAAATATGTAGTTTAGATTGAAAAAAGTTTTACCTTAATGTTTCCAAATAAAAGAAATATAAAAAGCGCGCGTTATTTTTGGGGTGACCGAACAGTACTGTGATCAGTCAGAAAACGATTTTAAAAGTTTCCCCGCTTAATCCGGCAATCTGAACCACCGTGCGCCGCGACGAAGCAGTAATTAGAGCAAACAAATGGTAGCTGAAACTATTTCGTATTGATTTGTACCGAACAGTGCCAGTGACCGGGTGGGCGGTCGCCGGAGGCAACTGATTGCACCGGATCGCGCCGCGCCGACTTATTTCGTGTACAGTGCGAATTCATTTTGTCGCGGCTGAAAATCTGGTACCGTTTCCTTTTTGCACGAGTATGTATGTATGTAGCACATTGCGCTGAGTCGGTTACACCGATGCAAATTTGCACGTGAATTTGAAATGTAACGATAATAAATAAGTAATTAATGTGTAAATTGCGTGAAACACGACGGGGAAATGCAGTTTGTACGTGAAAGTTATCGTTCGTGTGCACAGCACTCGTAAATCGGCGGAACAATATAATTCAACGAATTTGAATTTGAATTTGAATTTGACTTGCGGCGTGTCGATCGTAACAATCTAAATTCGGCGTCATGTTTCGCTTTCTCTGATATAGAAAGAAATTATTAAAAAGATAACAAACGTTTCTGTAAGAAAATCTAAACGAGGGATAAATCAAACTTTGGTCGTCTGCGTTTCGTCAATGCGTGCTTTCTCAGAGCCTCCCATATACGTTAAAACTTGCAGCGATGAAGGTATCGTTGCAAGTGATGGCTTTGAGTTTTCCAAAGTTTCATGATACATGTTGCACTCAAACAAAAAGTGGAAATGGCTGAAGCCCATCCTATTTGCGATGACTGCATCGCCGCAGGTTTCAACGTGTATGGGGGCCTTAATGCTAAAACTACCAAACAGTTGGATCGACTTCTTGTACTTCCTCTATAGAAACTCCAAGAGTGCATCTATTGAGACTTTAATTGAACTACAATTCAGTTTGCATACTGCCTTGTTATCCTGCCTCCCTACCTGTTATCTTTCTAATAATTGCAAAAAGAGGTCGTCATTTTGACGTACGTCACTTCGATCCGTCTAGTAATTTTAGTGTTAAGGGAAAGTATTCTCGAGTCTCCGGGTGCAATAAACAGCGAGAGCCACGTTGACAAGAACAGTCCTTAGACTAAGCAGTGCCTTAAATGTAAGATCGAAATTCTGATCTTGCACTCTTGGATGCACTCTTGGAGTTTCTACAGAGAAATTTCGAAAACTCGATTTAACTGTTCGGTAGTTCTAGCGTTAGATGGCAACAATTTTATATTAATAATCGAATGGAAACGCGTGTAACGGTTGACTTGAAGTTCGTGTACAACGTTGCACACCGAGAATATTTGTTCGTTAAGGAGTTAACAGAGTGGAGATTCGAGATTTTATAGCGTTAGTGGTGCAGGTTGTCGCGTGCACTGGTTCCACCAGCGGCGCAGCATAAATTAATGCTATCTCGCTAGATTATATACCAGGCCCGCAGCCGACATGATGGCTTTCGCGGAGCAACAAAATTGACGTATTTTTTTTTCTCCGTTCCAACCCTCCCTGCGAATCGATTAAATGTTTCTTCGCGTTACGTGACTCACGTAACCGCGAGTGCCGACCGCCATCGCTGATAGCATCGTTGTTCTTGACGAACGGACTTCGTTCTTTGTCGTCCGTGACCTCCGCAATAGTCACTAGACTGCGGATCTTTACGGAATTTCGAATTTTTCAGAATGTAACTAGAATAATAGAATCGCGATAGAAAATAGTTTTTCTGAAAGGATGCTATGAAAAGGACTACACTTTGGATGTCTTACAAATTCTTTCGTATCGTGCGCAATGTGTGCAATTTTGCACTTTAAGATTTTGCATAAATACGTAAAAATCAATCTTTCCGATCGGAGCATTCTGAGAATGGGCTACTCAATTGGTTGTAGCTCTGAGTCGGTAAGTAAATCGGTAAATGAGTAAATGAGTAAATCAGTAAATAAATAAATACGGGGTGTCATGTAACTAGTAATAACTAGTGTTAAGGTGTCAATCATTGCGAAACAAGGAAGCCGAAATCAGTCAGTTTGAATGGTACGGTAGATTTAGTATTCAGTTATATTCTCACAAATTTTCATTGTCATGAAAAATCAAACTGTACCAACGGATATCTCGTAGCGAATATCTATTTCCCGTTTTAAAGAATCGTTGGTGAGGTAGAGGGTGAGGAAATCATCGAAATCATGCAAACTCCTCTCCCTGATCGTGAGAGATGGAGGTAAATTCGATTGAAACTTCCCGTTTCCCAAGTTTTCCCATCTGTTTCCTTTCGCGGCGAACAACCGCGGGGGAATCCCGATACTTTGTCGACGGGGGAAAGCCTTTCAAATCGTAAGAGGGTATCGATGTTTTCAAACAAGAATCCACCCCGCCTCCAAATTTACCCTCGTACGAATACAAGCAGAATTTTATCGGTTCTCGGATATTCTTAACCCCTTCTCCTGGTACATCGATTTTTACAGATTACAGACTCGCGATGAACATTTTCAACCGAATTCAACAAATCTAAACGTTATTCGTTTATTGTTCATACAAATGAAATATTACTCGCATATTAACGATTTTTAATCTGTAGAATAAACATAAATATGGAATGAGCACCGAATTCTTCTCTTGTTCTACTAAATTATTAATGACAAAGTAGTTTTGTCAAGCACTGTCGTGATAGGAATCATAGGATAAGAGGGTTTTCCTTTAATCCCTATGATTTATTTCTGAACTACGATCGACACAACTACTTTATCGTGAATCATTTATTAGGAAAAGAAGAAATTTCGATGTTTATGTCTGCATTTATTCCAAAGATTAACGATTGATAATATTATTATATTATTATTTTTAATTTAATTTATAATGTTATTTTGCAACTAATTATTTGACTGGTCACAGTAGGAGTAGGTATATACGAAGATCCGGTACGATTAGTGTTAAACCCCTAACTTCCAAAATTCGAATTAATGAACACGAATTTTTCTAGGAACAATAGAATAAACCGTACAATAAATATCGAATAAAATAAAATGTTGATAAAATAAAATACAATAAAATCGTATAAAATATCCAATAAACGAAAATACGACGAACAAATATTATTAACATTAGGTTTACGGGCATTATCCAGTTTATACTATAGTTCCTAAGAAAGTTGATGTTCCTTTCTTTAGACTATGAAAATTACATACTTAAAAACAGGCAATTAAGATACAAATTCGTCTAATTGCGTGAATCAAAATCGACTTAAATATTTACCAAATAATGTTTATAAAATTCATCGTGCGTCGAAGTGACATGTAAACATAATGTTAAACACGTGTTCCGACGAACGAAAAACTATGGCGATGGAAAACAGCGTATTGACCGGAATGGTGAGAGGTGAACCTTTTTTCGCGCCCAGAAATCTAGGACAGATCCGTCGCCTTGTTAAAGCCATGTGGAACAATTTTTCATGTCGTGAGCCACGCGAAAAGATACGGCAAAGATACGAGCTGGTATAGTAATCTGTTCCTTGCCATAACTGTAAAATATGGTGAAAGCTCGGTAGTTTATCACAGTATTTACCCTTTTCTTTTTCTGATTACTGCACAGTATATTATGAGATTATTTGTATGTCACAGTCGTAAGGAAATGGTAACTTCCGAGTGAAACGTGGAATTGATTTTTATGTTTTCGTTCGTTTCAGGAACAAATAGCGAGTTACTGACTGTAAGTACACGAGTCTGCTAACCTTTAACACATCGAATGTGAAACAATTTTACTAAGCAAAATACACTGAAAGAAAAAAGTATGGTATTGAATTATTGAATTGAATTGTGTTACTGTTATTGCACGTTTATCTTTCTGAACGTCTCTGTACTACGTACTTAATATTATTTATAATATAGAAATGTTTTCAAATAGTCACCGTTTAAACGAGTGAATTATAGTGATCTGATTTAGTTGGGGGTCATCGGTGATCCCCATGGCATGCAACGTGTTAACCTCTTCAAGTATATTGGCACATATGCGTACATTTGATTTTATTTTAACATTAACGTCCATGGAGCGGACAGGTGCTTTTTTCATATATTATGCATATCTGTCTCAGTTTCAGTCTGAGTCATCAAACGAAAAATCAACTCGTAGTCAAACGAAAATTAAAATCGTTGTCTGTTTTCAGGAAGAATTCAGCCCTGAAGAGGTTAAGTATAGACGTGAATTTAACCATTAGGTCTAGAAATCTGAAAATGACCAATAAATGTAAAATATTCCCGTTTGTAGCAGTTAATGAAAAATTGTATTGTAAATATTTATATATTTGTTTATGCGCGAATGCATTAAGAGAGGAAGAAATGTATGTAAATATAAATATTGTTCAACTCACCGACGCTGTTTTCCCATTTTTACTCGTGACTTTCAGCAGGGACCCCTCGTACCCCTGTAACAAAATGGATACCAGCATGTTATTGCACAGTATCTCGCAAAAATAAACACAGAATTTAATGGAATCAAATTTTTGTTTTAAAACGAAATGAAAAATTTCGATGATTAAAAGTTTGGATTTAAAATGTAATTTAAAGTTTCTATAATTAAGCATTTCCAGTCGATCGGAATTTTAATTCTATGAAATTCTCTGCGATGGAACATGTCCAGCTTTCTTCTGGTATTCCATTCAATTAGATTTTGCAAGTAAAAAGCTAATTACTCGATCAAAATGATCCTGTTTATTTAATTAAGTTTCAAATCATCGAATAGTGTAACTTGATATATTATAAAGCGGAGTTTAATAAATATTAAAGAACTAATAACAAAATAGGAATCTTTTATTATCGTCGTGACTACCTCCACTTTTTTTACTATTTTCACATTTTAATGCCAAATCATTTGCTTGTGTTTTCATTCATTTCTTTAAATTTCCTTGTTTTTTTTCTTTTGGAGGAGGTAATCTGGTAAATAAACGAGTCGAATATTTGTCGTCCCTAGAGGTTTATTTTCATTCGTTCGATGTGTGCGATGGTAGAAAGAAAATATATGGAGGTACGCGTGAAATATTTTTGTTTTCCGTTCCCTCGTAAAATACACTGAATATAAGAGGCCTCGAGTCCATTGACGTCGTATAAGTGTACGCATGTAGTGGTATCCATGCACGTCGCACTGTTGCCCGCGCAGGATCCAAGTTAAGTGGATAACCTGTGTTAACAATCTTATCCGCGTCGCCTAAAGAGAAGATGACAATCTATGAACACTGCGAGCTAAGCTGCCATCGATTAGAAACCTTTTCGCAACGGTCCATCAATTATGTTCGACGTTATGAAAATAAAGGATTTCCTCACTCACACATTCTGTGAAAAGCCAATACCCATCTACAATGAAGTTGCACAGCCAATTACAGGGGGACACTTCTTCATTCTATCAAACACAAGAATTTCCGTACCAACTACATCAACCGCATTAAAGGATAACTTCAAAGAAGACAAAGTAGAAAAACTTAATTCTCTAAGAGAAACACAGCTAAGTAACCTCTTGCCCTATGATTCATTTTTCGACTATGATCGATACAACTACTTTATCATTAATAATTCATTAGGAAAAGAAAGAATTTTGATTCTTGTTCTATGTTCATGTGTAATCTAAAGATTAACGATTGATAATAGAAAAGTGATATTTAATTTATATTTAAAGAGAATAACTAACACTTGGATTTCTCAAATTCAGTTGAAAATTTTCATCACGAGTCTGATACGATATTGTAGGTCAAGGGGTTAACCAGTTAACTGCGTTTGATATACGCGTCATCTTAAAGCTTGAAATGGTACTAATTCTGTCAACGATGAAATCTTTATTTTTTCAGATAAACATATAATTTTTTTTTGTTTTGCTTTGGCTTTCTATTAAAGTATACCCTGGGTGCGTTCGTTCTACTTTCGACGAGTACATACTTCATTTTTTCATTTTGTTGCACGCGAAACGAGAGATTTTTGAAAATAAATTCCGTAAGTAACAGGTTAAAAAAATAGTGCAGCAAAAACGATGGTCGCTAATGGCCACAGCAGTTGATGCGACCTTGAACATTATTAAAAAAAAAGGATTTTCGAAATGTTCATTTCTATGGAATAATTTATGTTTGCGATAAAATAAATGAAATCGTCCCTCTTCCAGGTTTTCCAATATAGATTGTTCGTTTTAAGAAATTCTGTTCTTCATTCTCCATCCATCATTTTCTGCCATTTTCCACTTTAAAGTTTCCCGCAAATGTATAAATGTCTGTAGTTTAGTAATTGCAGTCGAAAACGCAACAATACAAAGATATTCGAGAGTGATAATAATAAAAAATTAAATTGAAGTTATTGACCCCCTGCCTTATGATGTTGTGTTAGACTCCAGGCGAAGATTTCAAATAGAATTTAGCAAACATTAATATTACTCGATTCCTTCGAATTAAGATTAACTATTATTATTCTGTTATCAATTACATTATACTTTAGATACAACTTTTCTCTTTTATTCAATAAATTGTTAACGACAAAGCAGTTCCGTCGATCATAGTTGACAAAGAAATCTTGGAATAAAGGGTTAAGTAAACACAGATTAATGTATACATTTTCTTCTTTTCTATTTAGAACCTTGCTTTCTTTATAATTTATTTCTCTGTGAAAAATATTTTTAATATTTTTGAGAATTTTCAGAGCAAATGTAGACACAGGACATGCCACAAATTTTTCTCTTAATTCAATAAATTATTAATGACAAAGTATGTAACTGCATCGGTCACAATGAGAAAAGAAATCACAGAGAAACGAGTTTAAAAAGGTTTAATCTGATACTTTCTTTTCTATGTAGCGAAAAAGAATAATATTTCGAAACTGGAAACAACCGATAACGAACGATCATTTGCGGAAGAACGACTACGGTTCGCGAATCCTTTCACAATTATCGTAATTGAAAACGAATTTAACGATGACCGGCCGGCTTCACGATGAATTTTACGCGGCGCGCGATTTGCATCGGCCAAAATTGGTTTCAACGATTAATCCGTCACGCGCGGAATAATTCCGCGGAAGAATCCTGTTACAAAGCTAATCGTGAATTTATGATCGCTGCCTCGGATAAACGAAACAAACGCAGACAGGAATAATTAAGCCGCGAACCAGCAACAGTCCGATTATTAGGGGAAATTACTAATTTCGACGGACGGATACAAAAATTTCTATGAAAAAGAAATGGAAAACGACAGATAAAATTGTTAACCTTTAAATATGGATGTAGGATCTCGCAAACCTTTATATAAACTATTGAGAATTTTGGAACCAGTGAAATTTTCGTTATATAGTTGATATCATTGTTATATAGAGATATTCAGATAAGTAAAAACAAATAAATACGGTAAATTTGTTTATTAGTTGCTGCAAACAAGAATGTTTTACACTAATCGGTAATTTTTAGGCTTCCATACTTAAATGTTAAATTCCATACTTAAACGTTAACATAAACACACAAAAGAATGCACAAGAAGAGAATGTAGAATTTTTAAATAGATTTTAAAACCGGTCATTGGACCGGTCGTGGTACGTTTAGTGTCAATGACTTCGAATTACAGTTCTTATGTTGCATTGTTTAGTTACTTACGTTATGAAATATTTTTATTCGACATCGATTTTCTTATTGTGATTGTTAGCAAGTTAGGTAGCTCCGGCCATCGGTGACCACCGTGGTAGTCAACGCGTTAATTCCTTTTTATTTTGTTTTTAATCTGTTTATTAGAGAAACGAAGTTCATTGTGAAACTCCGTTTGATAGTTTTCGCGGTAGTTTTATAAAGCACAGTGTTCGGTTCGTTTGAATTTGAATTTTGTCACGGTGCCCGAATTGCAGAATAGGTGCGCTGCTAGTGCGGTCATTATGCCGAATGCGAACCACGTGTGTTTCCCTATATTTAAGCGTCAAAACAGACCGTTGGGATGAAATATAAAGGGTCGTGTATGCGGTTGGGTTAATTCTTAGCCTTGAAACTGTTTTAATGTTATGGACATTTTCTTCATTTTGACTATATATTTATTTTTATAAATGTTCTATATTTTAATATAATACAAAATATATAATATATTTCTTATTTATTTATATTTTTATATTGTTTTATATATTTACGTTTTGCATTTTAATATAGTATATAAATATATAATGCATAATATATATTTTTTATTTATTTATATTTGACTATATATTTATTTCATATTTATATCTTTTTATGTATTAATAGATATACTTCTTTGTTCCCTTCTTTGATATTAATGTATTAATTATCGTATGTCGAAAATTTGTATTTGTAAATTTGTAGTAGGATAAATGTGTTTCTTCAAATGTTTTAAATGGTATTATTTCAAACAAGGTGTAATTTTTAAATTTTTGTTCTACGATTTTTTTAGAACTCATAAGAATTTTATTATTAATCTACTATATCAAGAAAGAATTCTGTCTTGCCATGTATACGTTTAAAGATTAGGAAGGATAGATTTAAACAAAAGGACTAAATGACATTTGCATTCACTAAAACAGCTTAAGATTTGCGTTGCTTCGCTGACACGATATTACAAAGCAATGAATTAATAACACAATTTTAATACTGGAACTACTATGACTACTAATACGAAGATACTGGAACTACTAATACGAGCACTTACTATGATTCATATGTAATTTCTATAAAAATCGTAACAATAGATTATCTCAAGTTTTTTTGAATATTTATTACAGTATTCAAGTGAAACTATTTATTTTCAAAATCATTTCGAACATTCAATGCTTTTAAGATATCAATCATTCTGAAACAAGAAAGCCGAAACCAATCATTTTGACTGGTATTTACGATAGTTCTAGCGTTAATGGAGAAGAATGTTTTCATTTTAATCTTAACCATTTCGTCAGAAATAAATCGAAAGCGTCGCACGAGTGAAATGAAACTCGCGAAATATTCGCTCGTTTCACCGGAAATTTGCTTTGAAAAAATGGGAATTCCCGAAATCCGAAAGCAATCTTGGTCCGGCCGCTCGAATATTTTGAGCCGCGTAGGAGTGTCGCGGAATAGATTGGTTACCAGTGGCTACCAGCTCTGAATCTGATCGAATTACTGCGGAGAGAATTGGACGGGAGCGTAAAAAAATATTGTCCGCCGTCAAGAATGCCGTAGCGGGAATTCTTTTCTGGGATCCTAGAGAAATCGCGAGGAAGTAGAACGCGAACGGTTGCGAATCGAAAAGGGAACAAATTATTGCGGCATATTAGACCATCCTATAACTATGTCATTTTTGAAACTGAACCATTAACTCGCAGAATTAACTTAAAACAGAATAGAAATGATTTGAAACTTAAAAATTCGACTAACATAATATCTGTTCATAATAATTGACAGAGACATTAATTTAATTGCAGCACGCGAAAGACG